CCGGTTGAATAATTACCCTATCGAATATCCGATATCTAGTATCTGGTAATTTTACGATCTGGTGCATTTGTACTAAAAAGTGATTTTATAAAAGAAAGCTGGCTCCACTCTATTTATACCCTCTATGTCCAGGAGCTGACATTGTCCAATCTAATCGCGTTGGACAATATTAACATGGATCGAGCAATGCAACTCAAACAATGCCGACACTGTTTATTATGCGGACTTTGCCCTTAATATAGATTAGTATTCACAGTCAGATCTTATATTCAAGACTGTCTTAAATACAATCTTAAGAAATCACGAACCAATCAGAGGGCCGTATTAGTGTCTTAAAATATTATATAATATTATTTAAAACAGGAAAAATAAGAACGGACTATGAATGCCGCCCATATATACAAGTGATTCCTTTTTATCTTGTAAATTAACAGAGATAAATCTAATGTTCTAATAAATATAACTAAACTCTAACTAAATTTTATTGTAAGCATAGTCATTATTGAAAATATTATTTATGTTTTAGAAAACGGAGCGATATGCATAATTTTTGCATAAAATAAATATTTTGATAATAGTTGTATCGTTCTAACGAATATAACGATATAATAAAATTATTTTACAAATTCAAGTTATTTCGGTTTAAAATTTAGCAGATAACTTTTTTTATATCTTTTTAATTTCGGCGCTATGATATAGTCAACTTCTGACTGAAAATACATTACTGAAAATAAATTACTGGAACGAGCGCTGGTATTAGTTTCGCGATCTGACAAAAAGTGTTTCAAATGATATCTTTTCTAATCTACACTTAACTATGATTGTACATGTGTAATACCATCTACCGCACATGCGTAATTATATTACTGAGTACAAGTTAGAAAAGGACAAAAAATACCACTTATAACGCTTTTCCTTGGATTATTCTTAGTAAAGACAGTATAGAGCCGCGTTCGTTCCAATAATATTATATTTCAGTGCTTTCAACTCGCATTGACATGTAATATGTTTTCATCTGATCATGTCAATCGGTAATGCACGAGTCGGAAGTTGGCCACACCGCAGGACTGAAACTGAAAAGATAATAATAGCCTGCCTTTTAAACGGAAATAACTTGTATAATTTGTAAAATAACTTTATTATATCATACATCATTAAAACAATACAACTTTTATCAAAATATTTACTTTATCGTGAAAAATTATATATTTATATTTTATGCATATTATACTGTATTATACTGTTTCTAAATAATTTTATTGTGATCATACAATAACACTCGGTATAATATATATATTAAATTATGCATAACTTTGCTTAAATCGGTGAGGTGTAAACTGCATATATTTACCTTCATTTAAAATAATTTCTAAAAAAATTTTTTAACTGTTTATTTATTATTTTATTTTTCAAGTATTTATTTTTCACGAATTATTCATGTTATGAAAAAATGATTTTAGTAAACATTTTTTAACATTTATTTTATGTTCATCAAATGTTTATTTTTAATTATTTATTCATTTGTACTGTAGTAAAAAGACATTTATTTAACATTTATTTCAATCGATAACGTATCCTCTTCTTCTTTTTTTTCTTCTTCTTATATGAAAAAATATGTTTTAAATCTTTATTTAACGTTTATTATAAAAATTTTTAATATTTTCTAAAACTCAAATTAGTCAAAATTGGATCAGAATAAAAAATGATCACAGAAGAGAAGTAATCATAATATAATTACATTAAGGGAATGCTGAAGCCGCCTGATTATCAATAAAACTAGCATTTTTGATGTTTTTGTTCCTCTCGGATTTCTTCGTAGTGATTTCACATAATAAAAATTCCTTTTCCATGATTAAAATTACACGTTAAGTTGTCGCTGGTGTCCAAAGATGGAAAAAATAAAATTATACAAACTATAGAAATCAAAGTCTTAAATGGTTTAGCTGGATCTTAAATGCTATTCTTGTGTGAATTTATATACTACGTATGTAGTCCCCAGAAACGCGCGCCGAAATGATGTTTCGGTCTTGAAAACGCTAACTCTACTAAACTACCGCAGTAATATCACGAGTTAAATTGACTAGCAATTTAACAAATTTTGATGCTTATTCGCATCGAAACGATCTTAATAATATATTAAGAATTTTAAGCACGATCATATATGTGAATACATCAAATACGATAGAGAACGCCAAGATTGATCAAATTTTGGATGTTACAAATAATACATTATATATTCTTTTATTAAATCAATTTATTCCAGATATAATTGAAAACGTTAATAATCTCCCCTAAATTAAATTAGAAAAAAAAAGAAAGAAAGAAAGTAAGAAATTTATTGCGAAAAATATTACCTTAGCCAGGATTCGAATCTGGAACTTCTCAACTTTCCGAGAAGAGTGTTTTAGCCAGCTCAATCACTGAGGCTTCAGAAATATACTTCGCAATAACCGATATGTATAGAGAGAACGCATTGTATGCGCGTGTACAAACATAAGAATTTTAAGCACGATCATATATAATATGTGAATACATCAAATACGATAAAAAATGCCAAGATATTAACGTTCAGAATGATTGTGTTGAAATTGAATGTTATCGGCTCGCAATATCTGGAATAAATTGATTTAATAAAAGATTATATAATTGTAAAGATTATGTAATTGTATTATTTGTAATCCAAAATTTAACCGATCTTGGCGTTCTTTCAAAAATTGGCTTGATAATTATAAACAATATTTAAAAAAGGAACATTCAAAACACCGATTATTAGTAGCGTAGTATTATTAAATTATTATATCATATATTTAAAGTTATTATTACAAAATCATAAATGTTTCGATCGATGTTTAATCTTCTTCAATATGTTCAATATATAAGTGAAAAATGTAAAAATGCCCATCAGAGCCTACATGCAGCTATTTGGATGCAGAAAATTCTTTATTTTCGTGTGAATAATAAAACGAATAAAATAAAGGTTTCGACTTTTCAATTCGGGTCCTTATCAATATAAAATATAAATCAAAATTACATAAGTAAATTCCAAATTGATGATTCCCGATAATTTAGTTCGTTCTTCTTTATCCAAATTAGCTTTGTAATGAATAGCCCAATGATTATTAAAAAATATTAAGTTGTACAATAATAATATAAAAACTTACATAAAGTAAAACCGAAGTCATATACATTGCGTCACTAAGTAGAATCACATCGCTCATCATTGTCAGATTTGCTGTAGTCATTCAAAAGGAATACGAAAATGAAAAATTAGAGAAATATTAAAATCATTTGTCTGAATTTTAATTATATCAACTTACATGTAAGCGTTTTCTCGCGACTTGACGTAAAAGTCTTGTGGTGTTGATAGTCAGAGATAAAATGAGAATCAAAACAATAAAGTCATGTAGTTATTGAAATAAAAATAAAAATAAGAATAAAAGAAAGTAAAATCAACGTCACAATTCCGTAAACAAATTCATATATAGTGGGTCTAAAAAATACTATATCATTCTGTAAATTCAAACTCTGTTTCTGTTGCTTTATATGGATCGCTTCCGAAATCAGTCTTTTATTAAGTATCTTTTCCTCGTCTAATATCTTGATATTTTCCCAATCAAAATATTGATAAATTCTGTGTTTCATTATTGCGGAATGCTGTATAATGTTCCAATTTACAATAGCTGATGTAGGCTCTGATGGGCTTTTTTACATTTTTCACTGATAGATTCTTTTATATATTTGTTCAATATATAATGTTCTAATCCACAATAATCATTCCTTTCCAGATTAACAATAAAAATAGAGAATTTAAAACTAAGTTTAACTCAGTCATAATGATATTCGATAATCAAATAATATACATTATTTGAGCGTATGCAATATGTGTTCTTATGACGTGAATGATTTTTGTGTTGATATTATAATATTGGTCTGTTCATTTCATTGTGAGTCCTCATGTAGTATAAAATTACCGAGTTCTGTACTAATATGCGAAAATTTGTAATTTTTTATTTTTTCCAACTTTAAACACAAAATACACTAGCGACAACTACATTAGCAGTAAATTTTAATCATGGAAAAGAAATTTTTATTCTAAAATCACTACGAAGAAATTCGACAAGAAATGTAAAAAATGTAAAATGTAAAAACTCTAATTTTATTGATAATACAGGCAGCTCCAGCATCCCCTTAAGTATTATATATAGACAATAAGAATTGTGTGTTAATACTTTAAATTAAGTGGCGTAATGAATAAAGTACAAAAGACTTCTAACTTCGATGTCCCAGATTCAAATCCCATTAGGTAAAAAAAAAAAATTAAAATGTAATGAAAAATTACAATTAATTGGTAAAAATTATTTAAGATTTAGGCATCGTTAATTAAAAATTAAATTTGAAAAAATTTTTGTAATATATTTTTTCTAATTTTGTGTTTAAATGTTAAAAACATTTTTTTCAAATGTTAAAAATTATTTTTAACATTAAAAAGACATTTTCTTCTAATCTTAAAAAATGTTTAAATAAAAATAAATTTTTTAATGAATATAAGATAACTTAATCCATTATTTTTAACATTTTTAAAAACGTTTTCAAAGATATTTTTTAAATATTTTTAAACATTTTTATAGACATTATCTGTTGATTCGATTGTAACGTTGTTATTATTTTCTAATAATAATTTGATAATGTGTGACTTTATATGTTTTTATGGCGATAATGATAACGACATATTTGGAAAAAAATTATTATACTATTCTAATACTATACTAATTCACTTTTACTCGTTATATAATGAGTAAAAAAAAAAAGTAACGAGTTAGTTTTTTTAATGAATAATAATAATGAGTTACTCTTCAAAAGTTTTTCATCTCTGACTTTATCATGAAAAATTATAAAAATATTATCAAATCGTTATTGTAAAAAAAACAATAATAATGATAAGTTGTTAGTGTTAATTAAGTAAGTTGTTACTCTCCCCCATTCCTATATTTTAAACTCACCGGTCTCGTTTATATCCCAAATAATTACGATGGCGCCTAAGTTGGCCAGCCTGAGGGATAAAAGCCTCCCCAATCCTCCACCTCCTCCTGTCACCAGAGCAATTTCGCCACCTATATTCTTCATTTTATACTTCTTGGGAATGAATGACCTGATAATGCCATCCAATATCGAAAAGGTCGACAATAACAGGAAGCCAATTACTTCTCCAATTGATTGTAAATATGTCATATTGGCACTATATACACAGACTTCGTGTACGTTGCACTCGTTGCGTAAAGTTAAATTCACAGCTTTTGCTCGTCGAACTCTTTGCGCGGCTTCTCTGCGACTAAGACTATCGATCGTTCAACTTGTCATTTCTGAATCGCAGTATGTCGAAGTTTATTTACAACTTATAGAGTAGCGACTGATGATTACGTTGATGATTCAATAGCTATAATCTGAAATATAAAAAAGTAATCTTTAGCTTTAGACAATATATCATACGTTTATAAAAAAATAGATAACATTATATATAATTTGTATCCGCGTTGAATATATTTATATAGTGAAGTCATTATCACTTAATGCGTAAAATATGAATAATAGGAAATTTTTGTAATTTGTATACCGTTTATCCAGATACGATGAACGCTAAGGTCAAGTTATCTTTTTCTTAACAACTAATTAAAAAAAGTATAACATAAGTTAGTGTTCACCGGATCTACGTTATTGCAAAAACTCCCTAATAAATACCTGCGCTTAGAATATAGTATATACATTTAAATACACTTAAATATTTAATTATAAATTTTAATTATAGATCCGCGCATGTGATTTTCTTTACATATCTTATGTAGATTGTTATTAATTTTGTCAATTCTGTTTTTTCTTGACGTATAGCGAATTCGATTAGATGCAGTCTGTGCCTTGGTGAAAATAAAAATCTGTAAAATACTTGTGCAGAAGCATACTTTGTTACTTCTACCATGCATGCACATTAATACACATTAAAACCATCGCGTTATACACAAATTGTAACGGATTAAAATCATCAATATATTTTATTGTATTGTTAATAACATCTGTATTTTAATTCATATTTGCATTTAACTTTTATACAGATTAAATCAATATAACAACGGCTTTAATATGTACTGATACGTCCGAATTCGCTGATATTAAATTATTCAAAATTGCAGATCCCTATAAAAGCCATTACTAGATGTTCAAATGTATATACAAATTTTTTATTAAAGTATGGATCAAAGACAATTAAACTATTAAATGTTTCTACTTCAGTTTTGGATCACTTCCAGTAATTATAAAGGATTATAGTAAAGTGATTAATTAAACAATTATATTTAGTGTATTCAAGTCAAATGATACGTAAATTGAAAAAATTATTTTCAGAATAAAAAGTAGTGATCAACGTTCCTAAATTCTCATATAAACAGAATCTCGTCAAAATTATTTATTGCAGTGAATTAGCATTTCTTATATAAACAAAGTAAATTGGAAATTAAGGAAATGCAAATATAACATAATATGAACATTGTTAACTTATTAAATAAAACTTACATAAAATTAGTTAATTTTTTATGTGGACAGATCTAATAGTTAGAGAACTTGTAAAACTCTATCACCAATTATCTTGACCAAACAATATCTTGACAAATGTTATCCAAGATTCTGAACAATATTTAAAAAGTTTTAACCATTGGCCGGACACCTTGCATAATGCCGTCGGTACTGTAAATTTCAAGCCTGATATCTCGAAAAGTACTTAATGAAAAAATATTTTATTATAGTATTTTGAAAAGCTCTCGAGGTGTATTATAATACAAGAATATGCAATGAAAAAGGGGATTTCCATATGAAATTTCGAAATTGATCTTTAAATAATAAATATCCTTTCAAGGTCAAATTTAAGGGCA